GACAACCCCGTAACAATATGCGTTTTGTACTGCTGTTACACAGCACAAAACGCATAAAAAACTGATTCTCCTATGCGTAACAAAACACGAACGAAAATGGAAACTTGTACAGACAAACGAACCATACGGCTTTCAATGGACCGAAACATTTCTTACTATTATAATAATTCAATTAAAATAACTTCACTAATTTTGTTAATTTCCTGATTCTTATTTCGGAATTTCCTCTTCGATTCTTCCTCTTTTTTCAGTATAACTTTTTATTTTAAGTTTTATAGTAAGAATGCAAGTTGGTAATGCAAAAAAATACCTTTAATTTTTGCACCTGATCACGATAATTTTCACGGCCACCATAAAGCACAGCTGCTGTAACGCTGGTTCGATATGCGAATTTTAGCGCCTCTTTATGAGTCTGCATAGCCAGCTCACGAGTCGGTGCCAATATCAGTGCAGCTGGAAGCACTGTTCGACGGCCGAAAAGTGTAAACGGCAGCTGAAAACGTTACAGCGAACGAAATAAATGCAAAATTAAGTAAAGAAAAACCGGTCAACGGTCAAATTTTGAAAGTAATGAAAAAGCCGTCAAATTCTGAAAATATCCTAGAAATCTATGTTATGATCTACAAATTTTGAAAGTTTCTAAAAAACTGCGTTTTTACATCTTGCACTGCTGTAACAGAATGTTCAGATTTTTGTCCGGTTTTTTTCAACACATTAAAAATCCTGAAATCCAAATGGAAAATTGTAGGCACTTTTCCTGCTACCTAATACTAGTCCTGCTAAAAAAACCCGTGAAAATCTCAAAAATATAAGTCCAAATTCTTAAAGAAATCCAAAAAATGGCCCAAGAATTTCACTGTGCAAATTTTTGAATAACAGAAAAAAAAACCCCTCTTACATCTTCCTGTGTTATTCCAGTGGTGCCATTCTGGACGATATGATTGATAAGTGGCAAAAGAAAAGCTGCAGTTTTGCCTGAGCCCGTCTGCGCACACGACATCAAATCACGACAATTCATCAGAGTCGGAATCGAATATTTCTAAAATGATAAGTCTTTTCAGTCATCTGATCCTTGTTGATACAGTCCATGCCCTCTGTCTTGCTCATCAAAGCAGTAAAAATATGCCAGAGCTGTTCGCCGCTGTGAAGCTCCTTTATTACTGTCACATAGTAATTACAGGTCGTTGCTTAACCCCATTTTGCATTCCCTTAAGGCCCTAAATTTGAAAAGAATTAGCCTCAGCTTGCATTCCCCACAAACCAAAAAAATTGCAAACACTTTAACTGGACGGTATTATGTGGATCTATTTTGACCGAAGGCAAAAAAACTTTCTCTTGAGACCACTTCGTAAGTTTTGATAACAAACTGGTACTGGGACATAGCTTCCGAGCAAATCCTTTAAGAGGAAAGCATCGACAGTTCTGGTACAGGGTGATGTTACAGGGATGTGTTAAAGAAGCTGAGTGACAGAGGAGGTTTTAACTATTGCACCATTATCAACTCCCCCTCTCCCCCGCCTTCCGCTTCCCCCAATAAAAAATGAAAAAAAAAAACTTTATTTCATCTCATCATTTTTTCTTTTTGTTTTTTTTTTTTGCAATTTTATAAAAATTCACAGCTCACTGATGCACGACATAAGTATGAAAGCACGTTGACTGCCGAATGTTTCGGGCAATGATTGATACTAAGCAGTAAAACAGACTGTGACATGATACGCCAGAAAAGCAAGAAATGGAACTGTACCTGAACTGGCGTTGGTTTTGTATATCCCGACTGTCTGATATTTTCCTGAATTGTCCGATGCAATTGCAGCTCTTCAAACTAAAAGGAATTTTTTAAAAAAAGTGTATTTCGTGACTACTTCTTTATATTTCACGCCATCATCAGCTTGCTTATAAGCGACTTTTAAAAGAAGAAAATGCCATCGACAACGGTCTTGCCAGCGGATGGGTTGCTAATGGCACCCAATGAAATTCCCAATACCATCTCCAAAAGGCTGCCCTACAACTCCATGCACCCTTATAATTTCAATATTTTAGTAAAATCTGCAAAGAAAAAATAAAAATAAAAATATTTTCTATTTCAACAAAACAGCGGCAAAGGTTTCCACAACGTCATGCTGAAGGGCTTGGGACTTTCTGCCGTTATGCAGAAAGTCAAGAATTCAACTCCGACTCGTACATTCGTATCGATGCTAACATTATCTTGGCACATTTCAAGAAATCGCCATCAGCCTGCTTGTAAGAAAACCTCAAGAACGAGAGATATCGATAGCTTTAACCAGCGAGCAAGTACTGTTGAAGCCGAAACAAGTGTCACAAATCATTTTTTTCCGGAGAAAATGACTTTATGGCAATTATTTCGGCTCCTAATTTTAGCTCATTTTCAATGAAACTATGAAAATTTTACCATTTTGCACGGGCGCGGTACGTTACTTCCAGTTGCTTCCACTGGTATTTCCTC